AAAAAAAAAAAAAAAAAAAAAAAAAAAAAAAAAAAAAACATTTAATTATTTAAAAATAAATAAAAAAAAAACGTTGTTTAACGAAAGTAAAAATAAAAAAAATAATAATAAAAATAAAAAATATATATATAAAATTAGTAATAAGAAAATCCAAAAATAAATTTGTTATTCATAATAATAAAAAAAATTAAAAGGAACAAAATATTAATTTATTTAATATTAAAAATATTATTTTAAATTATAATATTATTATCACTAAATTAAAAATTGAAATAAAATAAATTATTAGGACCAAACGTTGTTAATGATATTTTGCAATTGAATTTTCCCTAAAAATTAATATTATGAAATTAAAATGTATAAAAAATTAAATTTAATTCACATTGTAGACAAAAACACTTGAGCTCACAATACAGGTGCCACGCCCATATTTATAAGAGATATATGCATATATAGATGTGTCGAAGTTCAGCAGAAACTACGATAGAGGATCGAGTATTTAATTGAACTTCAATAACACCTAGCAGGGAGCGTTTCTCCCTTCTTCTTCTAAGTTGTAGTATTTACTAATGATCACATTCTAAAATTAGTCTAGAGTCAGGTAGATGAACAGATTAACGGATAGTGAGATGAGCATTATACGCAATTGATATACTCTCCTAAATAAACATATATAAAATGACTAAATAAAATAATACTTCATATAATAAATTAAATTGATTATATATAAACACATACATATATATTCAAAATATGTCTTTATATATATATATGTATAGCTGTCAATATGTCGAGCAAAATTTGTTGTTCCTTCTTGATTTTGAAAAAGTTTTTTTTTTTTTGTATTTGTGTTTTCGGCTTTCTTTTGGTAGAGCATCTGGCAAGCGTCGACGGATGTCTCGTGGCTGTGGCTGCGGCTGTGGCGGTGGCGGTGGCTGGCTGGCTGGCTGGTCACGTCAAAAGTCCATTCCAGAGCTCTGCCAGCGCATGTCTTGTTGTTGTTGTTGTTGTTGCTGTTGCTGTTGCTGTTGCTGGATGCTGTGGTGTGAATGAATCACAGCTAACGAAAATATAAAAAGCAGGGCAAGAAACTACATAAAACGAAATGTGTAAAAGGCCAACTAACACACGCACACACCTTCAAAAGGCAGCCACAGCATTTGTTTGTTTACATTCAGAGTTTTGCTGCCTGCCTGCCGTCTGCTGCTGTTGTTGTTGTTGTTGTTGTTGCTGTAGCTGTTGCTGATGCTCGTTGATCGCGTATACGCCGCTTATGACGCTTAAACTGGGCGCGATTTGAGATTTTCCAGCTGGCCAGCAATAACTATGCCCCGACTCTTGCACGCATATGTATGCATGTATGTATGTATGTATATGGCCACTTAGCCATGTGTGCGTGCATGTGTGTGTGTGTGGAATTTTAGTGAAGCCACTTGGACCACTTGACATTGATGGAAGGGCGCAACTTGTGACACTTGCCATCCAGAGAAACGAACTTGGGTCATAAAAACTTCTTATTGCCATTATGTGGATGTGCATATGTATGTGTGTGTGCGAGTATCTGTGTGCCAGTGTGAGTGTGTGTGTGTTTGTGCCTCTCGCATAGTTACAGCAAAGCAAACGCACTTTTGGCCAACAGCATGTGACATCAGTGCGACATTTTTAGCCAACGCCAGTTGCCATTTTCGCTGGTGGCCCACAATGAAGACACGCCCCTATTGAACGCCCATCAGCCAGAGAGAAATTTCTATCCATTAATTTACAACTGACACACAAAAGTCGAAAACCAAAAGCCAAAAATATCGAACACCGAAAATATCGAACTCGAAATACACTGAAGCAAATCTTTTCCATGATATGATCTATATATAAGTATATATATTATATAGTATATATATATATATATATATTGCAGTCGCTCTTTAAAATAAGCATTTCTACAAAAATATTTAAGCTCGATTAGCTCAAAGATCTGGAGCTGTAGGCAATTGTATTGATTGTATTTCAATTTAAGCTATATACGATCTAATTTTCGATATGCAGTAGAACCCATTAATAGCGATGCTCAAGAGAACGTCGCTATAACCATATAAGTTTGTGTGGGGACCAGAACTTACGTCGCAATAACCATACGAACGCTGTAAGCGGAGTCTTAATAATCGGATTTGGCTGTAGATGTATCTAAATATGATTTTTAGATATGTATGTATATCATATAGGTCTCGTCTAAAATATATGTCTGATATATATTGCATTTTTAGATGTCTATAACATGATTGATAAACTCCAAAGTCTAAAGAGTTTTTACCGTCATCCGACAGCTCTTTCCTCATGGTCGCCTTACTCTGCGATTCTCATAAGCACGCAATGTCAATTGCAAAGCAGCAAATCAAATCTGACATGCGGCCCAACGTATTCCATCTTGATAAAGGGTAACCACGCATTATGTTACTCACTATGACAACATACAATAGTAATACCTATCTGGTATATATAAGCCCTTCGAGGAGACTTCAAGGTTGGCTCTAGTTCGATGGGCCTAAGAAATCGTTCACTCGTATTGAATTACCAACCGGATGACAAAGTTGGCGAGCTCGCTGTCAAATGGCCAACAAATTGCTGGCCTAGAGAAACTTTTTTTCTTTTGTTTTGTTTTTGTTTTTTAGTGTTTCGTGATTTGTTGTTGCTGTGGTTGAAATTGAAATTGAAGTCGCGTGGCGATTAGCGGTTAGCGATTAGCGATTAGCGCCATTTGATAGCCAACTTCAAATGCCCGGCATGGGGCGCAGCGCTTCCGGTCAGAGCCAGCGACGCCCCCCTTTGGGCCCGCTGTTCCAGTGCCCCTCGTTCATTGGCCCCCAACGGGCGGCGCCTTGGTTTATTTATTCAGCCTGAGGCCACGTCCGCTGCACTCGAAGAGCCCATAAAGAGTGGCAATAACAACATCCCTAATCCAAATAGGGATAGACAATCGGATCGCGGCCGACACGCAGCGTCTGCCACAGACTCTGCTTGATCTTCGCGCCTGGCCTCGCCTTGCCCAGCTGGCTGTATGGCGGCGGCGGGCGTTGCAGCTGGAGATTGAGGCGTCGTCGCTGGCGCACCGGCGTCAGCCAGAGCAGCTCCGCCTGCCGCCGGCGTCGTCGATCGTGCATCGTTCGCGAGGCGCAAAAGGGACGCATCGTCACATAGTAGACGATCTCGATCACAGAGAAGATGCTGAAGCCCATGAACAGGCCGAGCAGGCCACCCGTATTGGCTGTAAAATAACGGGACATGATCGGCGCGGCACTAGAGGATCACCTAGGACCTGGACCTGGACCAGGCCCTGGACCTGGACCTGCCCCTGGACCTGGACCTGGACCTGGACCTGGACCTGGACCTGGACCTGGACCTGGACCTG